TTGTCCCTCAGAGGGTTGCTGTGAGGTTCTGGCGAGCTCACGAGTAGAAAGTACTATGTAGACAGTGCAGTTTCAACGATGTTTGGGTCTCTCCCAGCTGTATTTCTATAGGAAGCCAAGCTCAGCATTATAATGCTAACAGTAAGCACACAATAAATGTTAGGGTAGGCATGTGTTAGGGCCTTTATATATTTGATCTCATTTAATTTCCTCTCCCCAGTGAGGCTTGGAAGTAGGTATTACAATCCCATTTTTACAGATGAGGAAACTGAGGCCCATAGAGGTCGAGCAGCTTCCCTAAGGTTACACGAGTTAGTTGGGAACTGGATTCGAACCCAAGCTAGGCTGACCCCCAGCACCTGTGCACAGCCTGTGTCATGTGGGTTGGTCCAGGGGTCACCCAAGCCTGCTCCTCCCCCCAGGGCATGCCGGTCTCCTTTGCACTAGACCTGCTGTTCCTGCTGGGGCCTGCAGGCACTGTGGTCTCAGCCCGCTAATTGCTGTAGGCCACGCATCTCTCCTGGAGTCTTCCCCGGTTTCTGGGGACTCCTTGGCCTGGCCTCCAAGCCCCAACCCTGGCCTCTCTCCTTCTGTCTCACCTATGCAGGTAACCCAGCAAGTTCCCACCTGCTGCCCTTTGCCCTGGCATTCGCGTCACCTGAACTGTGGCTGTCCTCTGCTTCTCCTTTCTGCTGTTGCTTACCGCCTCTCTGCACCTAAGACCTTCCTCGTCTTTCAAGTCTCAGCTCTGGGGCTGCCCCTGTCATTATTCTTTCCTTTTCTCTCTTCCATGGGCATTTATTGGGCACCCACTGTGTGCCGGTGTGAGTCCCTGTCCTGTGGGAGAGTCTGTCTGGTGGGAGTGGGCTACGAGGACAGTGACTGCATGGCTTGGTCAGTGCAGTGACGGAGATGGCGAGGCTGCTGGGCCCGGGAGGTTGTCACTGTCCCTGGGGAAGAGTGAGGGAGGAGGAGGAGGGGCTAACCTAGCCACAGGGGCAGATGAAGGCATTCTAGCAGAAGTAGCACCTGGGTGGTGGAGGAACCGAGTGGGAGTGAGAGTGGTGCTCCCAGGAAATGCATGTGGTCTGGAGCCGGGACAGCAGCCACCGGGGCTAGTGGCAGGAGCTATAGTGGGGGGCTTGATCCTGAGAACAGTGGGGAGCCATTGAGGAGTCTTGAGCAGGGAAGTGCCTGGTGAGGCCTGACCAGGTCTTCCTGAAAGGCAAGAATTAGTACGTGGTGGTTGTTGACTTGGTGGATTTGCTTACTGGAAAGATCTGTCTGGTGCTGTGTGGAGCTGGAAGGAGGAAGGGAGCCTGGAGGCCTGTGAAGTAGCCCAGAGCCAGCAGTGCCAGGGCCTGGGCAGTCAGGGCAGTGGGGTAGACCAAGAGTTGAAGGAGGTGGGATCACTGGGACTTGGGTACGCGGGGGAGGGAGGAAATCAAGGTTAAGTCTGTTAGTATGAGACTGTTATCAAGTTGCCTAGAAGGAACCCTGGCCCAGGAGGGCTCGCCTGGGCTCCCCTGGCTGGTGACCCTGGACCAGCCTTTCCTCCCATGCCTCAGTTCCCCCGGCTATGAAGGGGTTGGGCGAGGTGGTCTGTCTTGCTCTGGCCCAGGAGGAGGGACACAGAGCCCACGGTGTAGCTAGCTGGGGCCTAGTCTAGGATTATCAAGTCTGGCCAGATCTGCCATGGCCTGGGGCCAGTGCCTGGCACGGCGGGTGTCTGAGAGGACACATCTCCGACCTCTAGGTGCCCTCCCACCCTTGTAGTGACTCAGCCCTTCCTGTCTTGGCTCAACCTGCCTGGCTGCCCCGGGCTCCGACTCCATCCAGGGCCTCTGTCCTCCCTGTGACTGGCCCTGGGGGGAGTGGCTCAGCTCTGGGGCCCCATTGGCCAAACCTTGCCTGGGTCACACACACCCCTGTCTCCCACGGTGGCTGGGTGGCTGCCTGCCCACCTGGGGCGAGGAGGCCTGGCCTGGCCTGGCCTGCCCCATGTGGGCAGACTGCCTTGAAGCCGAGGAAGGGGGCGGAGTCTGAGGAAGGGGTGGAGTCTGAGAGACCGTGCCTGGGCTGCCTGGGCTTTAGCCCAGAGTCTCTCACCCCTGTCTCTGAGGGGAATGGGGACAGCAACAGTGAGGCTTGTCCCCCTCAGCTTGCTGTGGGGGAAGAGCTCAGCCCTGCTCAGAGGGGCACAGTGTTTCCTGCCTGACAGGGTGACAGAATGACAGGGCTCTCGGAGCTTCCTCACTGGAAGTCTTGGCCGGGCCTGCCAGTCCCCGGGCAGGCTCAGGCCTGGCGAGCCTCTCTCCCGAGTGTGAGTGATGGATGTGGCTCAGGAGGAGAGGGGCCTTGCACCTGAGGGACAGAGCTAGGATTCCAACTCAAGTCTGTCTCTGGTTGTCCCTGCACAAACCGTTGATGTGGTCCTACTGTGTGCCAGGCCCTCCTGGGCCCAATTTGTCCTTGTCCTCTTAGTGTGTGGCCCAGGGCCCAGTACACAGAAGGTGTTTGGTGAATGCATAAATGAACAAATGAACCAACAAACGGGACAAAATGTCCTGTCTCCAGTGATGTGGATTCCAATGGGGAGATAGGGCCTCGTTCACAGAGCAAGAAATAGGAGGCTCGTAGGAGGAGGGGTTGATCAGCTGGATCTCAGCCATCGTGATTGCTGGTCCAGGGCTCTGTCCATCCTCAGTTTCTTGGTCTGTAAGATGGGCCAACAGTCCTCGCCCTCTGGCCTCCTGGTGAGGACCCAGCGGTGGCCGTGAGCAGGCTGGCGAGGCAGAGGCGCTGTGTGGGGGCTTCCCCATGTGCATGCCCAGACCACCCAGAAACCACAGGCAGTCTGCTCCCTGTGCCCCCTTGTCCTCTGCATCTTGCCTTCTCTGTTTCCTCAGCACTCCCCAAGGCTTCTTTCTGGAATGTTCTTCCCAGTATCCCTCGCTATGGGACGGGGTGGGGAGAGTGGAATCTGCCTGCTTCTTCCCTCTACCTGCTCCCACACCCAGAAAGCCAGCCGCCTGCATCCATATCCACGCAGGCCCTCGGCGCACGACAGGCGAGACTGCCTTGGCAGTGGTTACCATGGCGATGGGCCTTGCTGCCTGCACCGCAGTGGCCTTCACGCTGCCTGTGAGAACTTGTGAGCCGGGCAGCCTGGCACCTCTCGGCCTCCACCCGGCTGAGAGCTCCTGGGACGGCCGCCTTCCACTCCCCGCTCAGTGCCCAGCACTGTGCCTGGCACGCAGGGGCTCTCGGGAATGAACGGCGTCTCTGCGAACCCACAAGTTGTTCTGGCGCAGACAGGCCTGGTTCCAATCCTGGATCTACCACGTAGGGGGGCGGTGACCTTGAACTAGTCACCTTGGTGTGTTTTGAATTTATTGAATTAGCTACGGGAGCCTTGCGGGGGGAATTATCTGAGGAGCGTAGACCCCAGCCTGAGAGCCGTCACCACGCCCGTCCTGCTGCCGTGGCAGGCTTGCCGCTGCATCCGGGCCTGGGGCCCTGCACTCCTCATCTCAGCCCCGGGAGGCCCTGCGAGCAGCGGGGTGTGGGGGGCAGGAGCCCAGACTCTGCAGCCAGGCCTCTGGGGGTCAGAACTGGGTCTGCCACTTACTCAGGCCTCAGTGTCCCCATCTGTAAGATGAGGATAATAATGGACCTGTCTCATAGTTTGTTATGAGGATTAGTCAAATTAGTACATATAAAGTGTTTATAAGAATATGTGACACTTAAGTGCTATATAAACGTTAGTGGGGACAGTTGTCACCACCACACAACTGGCATTGGCCATAAGATTGGAACTCATGTGGCCGGCCCTCTTCTTTTTCTCCCACACGCAGGTGTGCCCAGCGCTAGAGTTCACAGTCTGATAGGGAGGGCAGCCTGAGAGATGGGACGGCAGGCTGCCTCCCGCTTCCCTCACCCCCTTCCAAGGGACTGAGAAGCACCCCAGCTCTTCTGCCTGGACAGTAAGACAGGCTGGGCTCTGGGCAGGAATCCCGGCTTGAATTCCTGGTCCTCCAGCTAGAAGCTGCCGCACCCTGCCCTGGATCGGACAGCTGGCCAGTGGCTGCCCTGAGCCCTCCAGGTCAACAAACCCAAGTGCTAAAGACACTAGCACCCAGTGGCGGCTAGCACCCTGATGTCACCTGGCAGATGAAGGGGCCCAACAAAGAGGCCCTTGAGGATGACATCAGAGCTGCTTCTTGAAACGCTTTCTTATGCTTAGGAACAATTTCCTGGGCTTGGCTGCTGCGGGGCTGTCTGGGCCCCCTGAATAGACCGAGTTGATCTTTAAAGGATGAAGGTAAATCTAAGACAACGCTTTAAAAAGTGGGCCCACGAGCTGAAGCGAGGAGGACTGACTTCTCTGTGTGTTCTTCTCTCCCCTGCCCCTGCCTCATGTCCAAGGTTGTGTTAATACATAGTTGTTGGCCAAGCAGAAACAGGGCAGAAGTGGCATTCAAAGAGCCCCTGAGGGCTGGGCGCTGTGGCTCACGCCTGTAATCCTAGCATTCTAGGATGCCAAGGCGGTGGATCATTTAACCTCAAGAGTTCAAGACTATCCTGAGCAAGAGCGAGACTATATCTCTACTGGAAATAGAAAGAAATTAGCTGGACAACGAAAAAATATACATATATAAAAAATTAGCCAGGCATGGTGGTGCATGCTTGTGGTCCCAGCTACTCGGAAGGCTGAGGCAGCAGGATTGCTTGAGCCCAGGAATTTGAGGTTGCTGTGAGCTAGGCTGATGCCACGGCACTCTAGCCTGGGCAATGGAGTGAGACTCTGTCTTAAAAAAAAAAAAAAGCCCCTGGGGTCGGAGCCCACGGGCTGGAGGTGCTGGCCACTCCTGAGTCGAGTTCTGGTGGGAGGTGGCCCTGGGTGCTCTCTCCTCTCCCGACAGCCCTACGGTCTCAGGGCGAGGCAGGCCTGGGAGTCCCCACAGTGAGCTGACCTCACTGTCCCACCTGTTCCCCAGGGCTTCGCCTCTGTGTTCTCGAGCCGCACGTCCCGGAAGTCAGCCTCACGTGCAGGGGACGACGGCGCCATGGCGGATGGCGAGGGGTACCGCAACCCCACGGAAGTGCAGATGAGCCAGCTGGTGCTGCCCTGCCACACCAACCAGCGCGGCGAGCTGAGCGTCGGGCAGCTGCTCAAGTGGATCGACACCACGGCCTGCCTGTCCGGTGAGGCTGCGCTCGGCACGGTTCTCCCACCCCCGGCCCCACAGGCCCAGGGCAGGGGCCTCGTGTCAGAGAAGGTCACTGTCCCCTCTGCATGCCACGCCTGTTCCTCATCCTGGCCTTTGCTCGTGCTGGTCCCCCGCATGAAATGCGCTTTCCAGTTTCCCAGTGCTTGGCCCGGCCCATCCTCTCTCCCGCAGACCCCACAGCCTGAATGGTGGGCCTGGGCACGTAGGTCCCTGCTTCAACCCAGAGCAGCCTTGAACGTGGCTGCTTCAGGTGGGCTTGTCCGCCTCACCGTGCTCCCTGCATTGAGTTGAGTGAGCTGCGCTGGTCTGAGCTCATTTCATTCCTTGTGTTGCACTATATTCTCCAACCCACAGGGAGCTCACGGCCTGCGGGGAGGGTGAAGGGGACAGACAGGTGACCCCCAGCACCGTTTACTGGCCCTCAGCACCGTTTGAGAGCCCCTGACCTAGCCCTGGGGGCAGCGAAGGGATTCTGGAGGGGCTAAGGTGCCCGAGCGCAGTCCTGAGGGTCAGCATAAGCAGGCACGGGTGCTGGGGAAGGCCAGGAAGTAGAGCAGCGTGGTGTGAGCGTCCATCTCCTTGCAGCTACTTAGTGAGTGTCTGCCGTGTGCAGGCACTGTTCTGGGACTGGGGTGCCGCAATGAACCAGGCAGACAAAAATCCACATGCTCAGGCAACTCACAGTCTAGTGGGGGGCGGGAGAGACACTAGACAGACAAAACCCAGCCGTGCAGAGCGGGGTCAGGGCTGGTGACGGCAGCAGAGGAGCACGGGGAAGGGCCGGGAGAGTGCAGGGGGCGGCCGGAACAGCCTCTTGAGCAGGTGGCACCTGAGCAGAGGCCTGTGTGATGTGGAGAGGCTGCTAACGTCTGGCTTCCTTACCCTGATGTCAGCGGAGAGGCACGCTGGCTGCCCCTGCGTCACCGCCTCCATGGACGACATCTATTTTGAGCACACCATTAGGTGAGTGGCCCCTCCCGCCTCAGGGTCCTTCCGGTTTCCCTTCCACGAGCCCAGGGCCCACACCCCTGTCTCCCAGCCTGTGTGCTGCCCAGAGCTGGACTCCGCCGACCCACAGCCTTTGAAAACGGAGGGGGGACAACCTCTGGGGCAGCAAGGCCCCGCCTGCAGCGTCTCTGGGGCAGCGGTGGACAGGAGCTGGCCTGCTGCTAGGTGCTCCGGGTGGGTTCTCTTGGCTCCCTTGGCCAGGGTGGGGCCACAGAAATTGCTTCACGTTTGGAATTGGATGTTGCCGAGACAGCATCATGGGGCGCTGTGTGACTTTGGGGAAGTCATTCTCTCTCTCTGGGCCTCAGTTTTCTCATCTGCAAAATGGAAGGAATTAGACTTCATCAGAGAATGCTGCTTTTGAGCCTGGACATTCTCTGTGGATCATTGGTCACTGGACTGTAGGGAGGCCCCTAGACAAGGTGTCTTGGCAAAGTCTGAGCCAGAAGCTTGGGCCATTCAGCCTCTGTCTGCTCACATACCCCTAGGGACGAGGAGCTCATTGCAGAGGTGCACTTTTTTTTTTTTAATGGCTGTATTGGTTAGAAAGTCCTTCGTTTCAGTGTGCTGTGCTGAGCTGCTCTCTCCATAGCTTTGCCTGTAGGTCCTGCTTCTGGGACTCAGGGAGGAGCCCAAGGCCTCGGCCGAGGACAGGCTGCAGGAGTTGCACCTAAACTCGCCATGAGTGCCTAGGACATCATGTCCAAGGGCTTATGCAGGACTTCCTGGGTGCCCAGTGTGTCGTGGTGAAGGAAAAGCTTGGCCAGTCCCTGGACTCACTTACACAGTCATTCACTCGCTGGAAGTGCCACTTCTAGACCAAGGCCCATGCTGGGTTTGGATACCCAGAGTCCAGGGGAGCACAGTCTCGGTCTGCAGAGGAGGCAGATCTAGGAGCATCACTCAATCCAAAGTGAGACATTCCATCCTGATAATCAGCTCTGACACGTGGGTGCCCTGTAATAGTTTTCTAAATACTTTTTATTTTAGAATAGTTTTAGATGTACACAAAATTTTTATCTCTATAGACAGCCCTATTGTTAACATCTTACGTTTATAGGGTACAAGTAATGAACCAATGCTGATGCATTATTTGTAATGCCTTTTTGGCCAGGTACAGTGGCTCATGCCCATAATCCCAGCACTTTGGGAGGCCAAAGCAGGAGGATTGCTTGAGGCCAGGAGTTCAAAACCAGTCTAAGTAACACAGTGAGAACTTGCCTCAACAAAAACTTTAAAAAACAGACAGGTGTGGTGATGCACACCTGTAATCCTAGCTACACGTGAGGCTGAGGCAGGAGGATGGCTTGAGCCCAGGAGTTCAAGACTGCAAGTGAGCTATGATCACACCACTGCACTCCAGCCTAGGTGACAGCGAGACCTTGTCACAAAGAAAACAAACAAACAAACAAACAAAATTGCATTCGTTTATTTATTCCTCAAAACAACACACTGGGCCGGGCGCTGTGGCTCACGCCTGTAATCCTAGCTCTTGGGAGGCCGAGGCGGGCGGATTGCTCAAGGTCAGGAGTTCAATACCAGCCTGAGCGAAGAGCGAAGACCCCGTCTCTACTATAAATAGAAAAGACAATTATTGGCCACACTGAATATATATAAAAAATTAGCGGGCATGGTGGCGCATGCCTGTAGTCCAGCTACTCGGGAGGCTGAGGCAGGAGGATCGCTTGAGCCCAGGAGTTTGAGGTTGCTGTGAGCTAGGCTGATGCCACGGCACTCACTCTAGCCTGGGACAACAAAGTGAGACTCTGTCTCAAAAAAAAACAACCAA